CATTTCTGTATAATTGATTGTGATAGATATATGTGCAGAGAAATGCGTAAAACCAATCATGATTTTATATTGTTAAAAATAAAAATAAATCATGAATCGTACAGATTACGTAAACCATACATATGCACATATGCATAATGATCATGCCTGTTACATTCTTATAAATAGTATGTGCTTAAAAATTACTTTTCATATATTATACGGTTGAATGTTGTTCTTATACGCCCAATGGTCGTCGTAATTAACTGCGTCGTTTTTTTCTCGTTGTGTCCCGGGTGAAATGGTTGTTTTAGTCAATATATTCCAATCGAAATATTATAATTTATTATAATAATATATTTTTAAATCAAACATTTTTTAACCGGGTGGTGTTGTTAAAAAAACATGTCGTGTTCATAATCGCGTCGAAATTACTTTTTTTTTCACTACTATACACACAAAGCCTGTGTTTGTGAATACAGTATTGGTGAACGTATAAATAATTTCGACTTAGCAAATAAAATAACGTATAATTTTGTGAGATAGGAATACACTCTACACATAATATATTATACTTTATACTTCACCTAAACTCTGTGTAAAATGCTATAAATGATAATAATCACACATTTGTGTACTGTTATCAACGAAACGTTATGAATCAGTGAAAGTGTAGATATACAGTTGAAAATCCGGTGACAATGTAACGTTGCACAATAAACCGTTTTCTATATAATATACGTACACGTATATAATATTATGTATGTTCTATAGAAGTTTGGCGGGTACGTGTTATTATTATTATTCGGTCATCATAAATATGTTTTGTGCGGCCGATCTTCACCGTGGCGCTCGAGAAACAACTATTATATTGCAAGTGTACATCTTCTATACATCTATGTATATAATATATAATGCGTGAGTGCGTATGCAACCAGGTATTTTCGTTAGCGATTGTTTTCATCACATATCTTTTATAATAACATATATGGTTTTAAAAAATACGCTTTTGATTTGTGAGTGTTTATTGTACGTACGTGTGTATTGTAATTATTATATTATTTTCTAGGCAATGATAGTTGTTTGAACAACTGTGATGCCTATGTATATATATATATCGTATACACCCGCCTTCGATTTTACTATTATACGTTTCTGCCTAATAACATACGCGCGTTAACACATATTATTTTATTGTCTTGTAATAGGAGGCGATATCAATCTGTGATACGGTCGGTTCGGTTCGCCGAGGTGTTTATAACATAATTATGCATATATTATATTATGCTTGCGGGTCAAATAGAAAGTTGAAACCAATATATACAAGTTAACTTTCGATGAAAACCAAAAGTATTTTATCTACACGTACGCGGTCCAGCTATTGTTATGTGTAGAGTATTTTTAATATACAGTGGATCCTCGGTAAGTCCAAATTTAAGGGAAATGCAATTTTTTCAACTTATCGAGGTTTTCAACTTACTAAGGTTTTCGAGTTTATTAAGGTTTCAGAAAAGAAAATTCGACTTAAAGAATTTTTTAAGTTTATTATCGTATTTTATTTTTGTCACAATTTTTCAAAAAAATAATTTAAGATATTACATTGAGTTAGATTTTTGCTAATAATGTTTTAAATTATATTTTCTACTATATTTAAATCAGGATATAGGTTTATCGTTCACATGATTAGAATGTTCAGTAAATGTTCTAAGCAATGTGAGAGTAGCTTTTGCTTGTTTTACTGAAACCTGAGGTACTAACTCATATGATTCTTCGTGTCATTTTTTTTTAAATTTTCAAATCAACCGTTACTGGCTTTTAATTTTTTGTGGCCTTATGATTTTGCGAATTTTTATTTATTTTACTTTTAGAATTGAAACGCTGATACTGATAAATATTACTAGATGATATAATGATACTGCAGTGAATGTAACAGTAAAACCAACAATAATTAATCGTCTTTATTCAAAACGCGGAATGTTCGATACTTATCTATAGTTTTTTTTTTTTCGAGTAATTGAGGTTTTCACAAGGGAACGAAATTTATTTTACTTATTAAGGTTTTTGACTTATCGAAATTCCACAGTATACTCGTTTAATAAAACAATGTAACAACTGCAGACACACCACTCAGCATAGTAAACGGGTATTATTTAAACATGCACACAAAAGTTTCATTAATTTTAATACCCTGTGTATAGGTGCAACGATGTACGCCTATCCTATGTTAATAAATGAGAAGGATTTTTCTAAACCTGAGTCATAAAATACTTGATGTTGTTTAGTTTCTCTAATACGCCTTTTTGCTTGTATTTGCAGTTATCAGCGTCGTTTGCCTATTAAATATATGATATTTAATATAAATAAAATAATGGCAAGCACACCAGTATACGTCTATTTGACGGCGGTGTACTTAACGACAAATTCAACCTTGACATGCGACGAGGTGAAAAATAAATTTGTCGCATCGATCGTTTTACGACTTTCAAGTGCGTTTGTACCAACACCGCGAAGACTATAAATCGCGACGAGATTTCCCATCGTCTCGTCGATCCTATGTGTTTAACATCGCTGGGTCGTTGTCCAATCGTATCTGCAGTGCGAATAAGTGATTCCATATTATTATTATAAAATAAACCCATACATTATATACTTACACCTAATGTATTATACTCGTTTTCCATGTGCCGTGTTTGTGTCTGAGGTAAAATGATAGACTATGACTATACATATATATATATAGAAGACTTCGTTCCGCTGGTAAAACGGGGTTAACGCGTGACGAAACGACGACGAGTAGTTAGTATCTACCTATACTCCGACGTGTGAAAAAGTCCATATTTCAACTTTATATCGCTGACAATAACGTGTATTCGTATATGCCGCCGTACTGTAGGTATGTATATATTATGATGACACGTACCTCCTATACATATTGGCAATAGGAATTTTACTAAGTATCTGTTCGTCAATATACCGTTTCAATGTCGTGCGGAAAAAATAAAAAATCACGATTTGTGATGGCAAAATAATGCTGGACAAGCGATGGCAGTCATCACAGCGTCGTTGTATATACTATTATTATGATGTATTTACTGCGAGGATCTTCTCGGATAATCTTACAACGACCACAGCGTATAGATACTTGTATAGTAATATCTAAGATTTAGATTCTGGGGAAGAGACTGAACGGTCAGTAGCATAAATAATTTCTACGCAGAAGAATTATTTTTTGTTTCAATTAATCAATATCCCAAAATTGTATAACTACAAAAAAGCATAAATACTACGTTAAATTAACATCGATTACTTAATCGTAGGTTAGAATAAAATTTAAATTGATCAAAAATCCCATACATGACTTATTCTACATTTGAGCCAAAATACCTATCTACAATTTCGGCGAAACTCTTCCTCCATTAACCTAATTATAGACCGCTGTGGATTGTGCATTATTGTCTAGTATTATGCCCAATTTTAAAACTATTCTACGTTTCACATGCTGATATATTTTTATTATTACGTTTCGATATAAATTTTTTGCCTGGCAATTTTCCAAAAGCGGCAAGTGTGTGTATGTGTGTTCTCGCGCGCGTATATGTATGCTTGTGTGTGTTTGACGGAAGTGGCCAACTTTTATCATCGTTGTGTGTACTCATATCCTGTTCCTATATATCTTACATTACTTTGTATCATACGCGTATACATATATATGTGTATGTTTATGTGTATATAAGTATAGTAGGATGTTCGTAAAGCGTCCTTGATTGGCGCCATCGGCACGGCAATACGTGTCACAATGCCGCCGCGGTCGTTTTGTCGTACTCGTCGCAAGAAATTTCGCAAATTTCGATTTATTTACTTTTTATTTTATTGTTATTATATGGTCCTGTTGCGCACAAACCACCATCGTCTATTACGAGCGATGTATGTGAGTTTCGAAAGACTTGAGACGTGTAGGATGGCGACAAAACATTAGGTATAAATGATGTACATATAACTGGTAGTATACGCACGTCCGTGGAAATCGGATTGACTCGCGCGTGAGTGGCGTTTCTTTGTAAGTTTTTCCATTTTGAATCATTGCGACGTCGTATCTACAGCAATATATGTGCCTAATTAACGGCGTAAAATAAGGTCTCCGAAGAGATCTATAAATAGGGACGTGTATACTACTTATACGCAATTGGATGACTAAATCACTGGGAAAATTGTCGAATGTTGTACGATTCGTAATATCTATAATAAATATCATAATATTATTGTGTATACGTTTGCGAAGTGTAGGTGGTATAAATAATGCCGAGCGACTGGGCTAGGCGCGTCCGAGGTTTGCAATCGAGACGTCCAATTTAAATTCGCGCGTGTTTTCTCCAGCAATCGTCATTGTTTTAAAAAGGTGTGTGTGCCACATTATTTTATATTATTATATATATAGCCGTGGCCCCTCATTATGCTCCGTGCGAAAACTTCCTGTCGTCGCAACTATATTATATATATATATATCGTCCGAATTGCGTTGTCGCTGTGACTTGTGCAAATCACCCGCTATCATACCTGTATACTATATTACAGTTTATATTATTTCAAAGTTAAGCAATAATAACGAAATCGACGTCCGGTCGCGGGCGCCCGATAATTTTTGGGGCGTGAGCATTCGGTATATATTTTTAAAATAACTATTATACGAATCGAGTATAACAACATTATGTATTATTATAATCAAACTGCTGTAGGTTATCACCTGTGTTCTTCACTGCTGACGAAATACGCAATTACCTAAAACTTTAAGTACCTATATAATATAATTGGTTTGCTCAGCATTTTGTCGATTTAAAGTTTTTGATTAATCGTTTAGAGAGCGATTATTCGTATTATTATCATGTTATCATAATACCTAGTTAATTGCAGTAATATTTTATATATACACCGTAGTCAAGTATTATGTGTATACCTATGTAAAATAATATATTATTTATACTGTATAAACTAACGTTCTTGGTTTTTTTTTTTTTGTACCTCAGGGGTAAATATGCGACGGTCCGGAGGTGTCGAGACAAACAGACCGGCAAACAATATGCAGCCAAGTTTCTGCGGAAACGCCGGCGGAACGCCGACCTACGACCCGAAATTCTACACGAGGTGGCCGTGTTGGAAGCATGCACATACAACAGCCGCATCGTCAACCTGTACAAAGTGTTCGAAACCAGCACGGAAATGATATTGCTACTAGAACTGTAAGTACTCACGCTAATATATAATAATACTACTGACCATTTATTTAATAAACCGTAGTGTAATCTCTCACTCGTTACTAAGATTGGCTTCATTCTAATTTACGGGATTTCAAAAAACAACGTTCTATATTCAAAATTTAAATCTAAAGTAGAGAATTTCTGCATATTAAATATTCTTAATTTTGAATAGGTTTATTTGTATAAATCTTAAAAGATTATATTGGTAAAAAACTAAAATTAAACTTAGGTCTTTTGAACTTAAATTCTTATGTTTGCCACCGTATGTCAATATTTTTATTGATATAAGAAATCGAATTATAGCTAATCTATTAAAAATGTTCGAATATTTCATTTCAGTTTATTATATTATACATACATAATTAGTAGTTGGTACCTATACACGTGTCTGTTGTATTTTTTGATTCAGTCTCGAGCACATCATTTTTCGTACTATTATTGTTGTACTTTTTATGTCGACTTCAGGTCAACGTAATATCATGGTATTATTATTTGTCCTTTACGTTATATTATCACCTCATTTATATATATATATATATATTGATTATTAAATATATGATCATCATTTTCAAATACATATTGCCTGTTCCGCACCGCAGTATTGCTATAAAAATAAAAGTCACAACACTATTCACCATTATAATAATGATACAAAATAATTGTTATTTTAGTTAATATATTTTTTTTAAATTCTTTAGAGAAAACAAACGATACAATACGTACGATTTTTTTTCACAACAAATGCGTTGATCTACTTTTTAACTGCACTTATTGTCTATTTTATGTTGTATATTTTATATGCGCATACCCACAGCATATATTATGTAGATTTTATATTTTTGAAAAATAGGTTTAAAAAGGTTGGTCTACATCTGAAAACTGGGTGTATTTATTATAGTGTAGCTTAGTGTGTGAATAATGGTTAAAATTGTTTAACGAGATTTCTAGTGAAAATATGATATATTAGTCCAATATAGTCTAAACAAAACCACTTATTATAAATTCGTTTTAAAATATGTATGTATATTAATTTAATGTACAATGTTTACAATGAGAACATTTTTATGAAGTAGAGGTTATATTATAAAACCTTCTATTATAGATAACATTATTTTTCAAAAATATCAAGGAACATATTATATTATGAATTTTAAGAAATATTAAGAACGTAATTTACGATTTAACGATTTTGCTTAGGACGAAATACTTGTTTTAGATTTTTTAACTGGTATTATTATTTACCATATACGTGTTATTAACCATTTTTTTTTTGTTTGTTTTTCAGAGCACCTGGTGGTGAGCTACAAATGGTCTTAGACAGGGACGAAGTACCGTCTGAACCAGAGGTAGCTCGGCTCATGCGACAGATACTTGACGGGTTGCACTACTTGCATACCATAAACGTTGCGCATCTAGACATCAAGGTAAAGTCGATGATAAAAAATATAATAATAAGACGACGATAGTATTTTCTTGAAACGTTAAGTACATGCATCCATCATTGCCATTCTTTATATATACATTATAATCTCTTGTAACATAATAGCTAGTAAAATCATTATTATTTAAATATATTGTATATAGGTTTACTGTGTATAGGTTGCTTATGCGTGTTGGCTTGTTTTTTTTTATTTTTATTTCACTATAATAAAATCGTTAAACCACAGGATCCGTTAGACTTAGAGCGGGACGGAACAGTTGTAAAACTCTAGTGCACATCTCTCTTCTTCTCTCCCTACAACTACACCGCCACCGGACGTCTTGTCAGCTGATAAATAATATTCCCCTTCTCTTTTGTTTGTATATATTGTAATATTCTTATTACAATATATATGTGGGACTGGTGATGAATGAGGATGTTGAAATGCGTATTGTATAATTGTATGTGTGTGTGTGTGTATGTATGTGTAAAAATGACATCCATAAACCTCACAGCCAGAGACAATACGGTGTTTTAAATAATATATATTTATAAGTATAAAACTCGATTTTCGACTGAAAATATTACTATTACCGGAAACGGGTAAAACACTGAGCATTATTTGAACACGATGTCGAATTATCTCACGCGCACAAATAACTGCAGCTACATCATAGTATTGAATAAAAACGATACTCAATGCATATATTGATCATTATATAATCTATATATAATATACGTATTAAAAAGAAATACAAAGAATGTGTGTAGAAGTCTTTTAATTCTTATTATATTTTACGCTACTTTACTTTTTATTTTATGTAATTATTATATTAACGGGTGATTCGTATGGGAAACTATTCGTTTCTAATGCTTTTCAAACGAACACAACAAATCAATTAGTATTTCCTGGGAAATTTATATCGAGAGAATACTCATAATTTTAATAGCCATTAATTACAGACGTTTATATTCCCAAGACCATTATGCTCTAATTAACGTGTATCTGACTGACAAAAACTTTTGAACTTCTAAATAATCTTCTATCGGCCGATTAAATAGGTATCAACTTTTATGTTATTTTAATTGTTTAAATACCATACTAATTAATATATTATATACGTAATAGCGTAATAAAATAATGCACTCATTTTTTAGTTATATTTTCTTTCAGTTATTATACGCATAGTATACAGTTTTCCTCCTTTTTTATAGTTTAACGTCCACAGTGCAGCTGGTTAGATCGACGTTTCCGTTGTCAAGTTGCGTTAGTCTCCCGTTATTTATTTTGTTAATATTAACCGCACGCAAAGAGACCTATGCCGTTGTAAATTAATTCCACCCGTATAACATCATTATAACATGAATACATTATCATTATAGTTGCGCATAAAAATAAAAAATCTTTTACTATATCTTCGCAGATAATAGATAATTTTTTCGTGTTTTAACTCAATAAACGTGATGAATGTATTTACGAAATATATATTAATTTTTATTTGATTCAAATAAGACTGATGATTTTTTGGAACGGCCAAAAAAATAAACAGCGTGAACAAATTAGTTTTGATTTATATAGTTACGGAAAAAATTAAATCCCAATTAATTTTATAGTTTATTACAGTCATCTGTTCTTGTATTAAAATGTATATGATGTGTACAAGGACATATTTTGGTGGAAAAAAAAAATCATTTGAAAACCGGAGCGTTGTATTTCTTCCCATTTCTTCCCTATACCTGTATACATATTATAAACCTAAAACACCGGTGAGAACTGTGGCAGGATATGAGCTCGATCCTGCAACGCAGCTATGTTAATATAATAATTTAATGTGCAGGGAACGATTGGTATATTATAGGCATTGTTGTCGGGGTTAGAATATATATATGCGAGACGATGGAAGTACTGCCCATTAATGACGCATCCTGGTTCTCATGTTTTAATATTCACGCTCCGATGGCTTTTTTTGTTCGAGAAAGCAATTAAAACAATAACTCGACCATCGACGACAAGTTTGCGCAGTGTGTCTGGAATTCGGATTGGATAGCTAAAAAACTTCAGTAGTGTCACTTGTATAATACAACAATATAATATTATATAGTCTGGATAACTGCGTCTCCATCCTTACATATAAACTTTCCCAGATGTTGTTAGACCATTTCTAAACGCTGTAAGTGTTCAAGTATAAATCCAGATATCATAGCACGTGGAAATCTTGACGTTTCGGATTTCAACACGCTCAAATCACGACTTGAATAGTTCAAACACATATCGGATAAAGCTTTATAATGTGTATTTTATAAACATGTTCTATATTTGCATTGAAACAGCGTTTATTTTGTTTTTGTGGTGTAAATTCTCCACTTCTTTATAACTTTAAATACTTATGTTAATGTAACTATCAAAATTTTAAAAACTATTCTGCGTCAGTAAATAAATTAGAAAACGTATGCTTTTTTCACGTTAACGGTGAAAAAATTGTATAAATTACAAATTTTTAAAAAACTATATCTTATAGAAACTTTTAACTAAATCTGTATAAAAAAAATTATTATTTTCAAAAACACTTTTTAATATATTAATTTACTGATAAAATAAATTCCCAGTATAGTAGCACTACGATGGTACTACTTTCAGGCTATGTCGGCTATGGACAATAGCTTTATAAAATTGTCTAACAATAGACAATGACAACATTTTGATTATTATCGTTAGTTTTTAATTATTACAAATCAGATCAGCTGTTATATAGTCATAGTTTTTCAATACATTATGTCTGCTATTATTTTTGTCTTGGACGTCTGCTGTTAAATAATAATTATTATAACATAACAGTATATTAAATAGTGTAAAAAATATATGCCGAATTTCGCTTTATTTCTTTTTTAAAAATTATCATCAAAAACAACTCGCCATCACTACAATATAACAATATATCTTACTTTAGTATTCTTATGCAATAAAAAAAACTGACACCTATAACACTCTGCAACTAAATTCGTGATGCCGTAATTATATTGATATTCGCAATTTTTCATCCGCAGAATTATTATCAATGTTGTATTATTATCTTTACGGTATAAGCTCTCATCGTCAATTTTCTCGTTCGGTCGGGTAAGTACACGCGAGTAAAGATGGCGTCGGTAGATGACTGTGTGTCTGTGCATAATGCGTTTCAAAACGCGATGTAGGTACCTAGTTGTGACACTCACGCAAGAAACGAAAATAAAGATACTTTACGCTCATCATGTACTTGTATCGCGCATACAGTAAATTGCTTCAAAAATAAATTGGTAAAAACTCGTTCGATTTGTTTCTCTCGGCGTGTGTTAAGTATTCGACATAATAATACATCGAAAATATATTACGGGAATCAATATAACTACGTCACCGCTAGAATATAATAATAATAAGTTATAACGAAACAACGACCGTCGCTAACGTAGCCCGTAGGAGTAGCATTTTCGACAAGATAAATTGAACGGCGTTCATCTTCGGATGATAACCGTGTCGACAGTTCATTTTTTTTTCTCACACCCGATAAATTTGCCATTTTTTCTCCTAATATACGAATCTATTTTAAACGTAGCGATCATACGCGTAAATTTCGATTGTTTAACAATTCGCATCGTAGAAATCGCATGCACGTGGATTATATAATTTTTAATTTAATCGTCATCGATATTTCACAATGTGGTTTCTGCCATACGATCGCGTATGTCTGCCATTGTACGCACGACGATGATGTTTACAGTAATACTTCTAAATAGTATACAATGTTTGCTGTAAACAATTTAATCATTTATTTAAATATCGTATTTTACGGATTTTGCTGGATATAATTCATAGAAATAACCATCAAACGTCATATATTTTTTTTATGTTTATACAAATATTAAAAGAATGTTGAAAATCTATGCTGCTAAGGCATAATAAACAAATCATAAAATTAAAATAATATATAACAATGATAATATATACACAAAAAAGCTATCCAGTAATAAAACCCAACGTTAAATTTTTTTTTTTTTTGTAATTATTTTTAATTTTTTTGTTTTGCAAATAATTTATAAAATGTTAGTTGACCGTTAATTATTCAATACATCTTGACATATTTTTCTCTTAAAACAGTGAGTGGTCAAATTTGACTGTGTGTAATGGTTTACAAGTATAAATTTTATACAATCATTGGAGCATAAAAATATATGCGGCCCTCCACTCTAGAAATTGGAAAATGTTTAAAATTTTACGTTTATTAGTGATAAAAGTTTAGCTGAGAAGCAGAGTTGAGAAATTGTATTTATCAGCTGTTGTAACCATCCCTTACGTTTATCTGTTTTTTAAGTAGATACGTACCTTACTCAGATCATTTTAGTTATGTATTATTTTTTTTACAAAATTAATGTAATTATTTATGACTTTAAATCGTTATAATTAAATATAAAAATATAATGTAATAATCTTGATTGTAATTATGTGTTGCAGCCACAAAATCTTGTATTGACTGCCGACTTCCCGAACTGTGATGTAAAACTATGTGACTTTGGTATATCCAGGTACCTGAGCGAAGGGGCCGACGTGCGAGAAATACTCGGCACGCCCGACTACGTGGCCCCCGAAGTGTTAAACTACGAACCAATCGACGTGCAAACTGACATGTGGTAAGGAACACAAGTGATGGCATTTATTACTATATTTAGAAGCCACTACGCAAAAATATAAAAACGTTATACTTCATCGATTATCCGCTATAATGTATTGATTTTCATCGCAGGTCCATTGGAGTCCTACTGTACGTACTGTTGACCGGGTGTTCGCCGTTCGGCGGTGACACCAAACAGGAAACGTTCTGCAACATATCACAATGCAAACTCGATTTTCCTGAAGATCTATTTCAGGATATATCTGAGGATGCTATTGATCTCATGAAGAAGCTGATGGTGAAAAACCCCAGGTGAGTTGTCTGAGATACGTTTATAAAATATAAATGTGTTGTGGTCAATATAATTATTAATCGACACGATGATGTGCCTAGAAAGTAAAAAAAAAAAAATAGATAATAACATACGGTGTATACCCTAAGCAATAATATCATCGATTCGAGGAGAAAAAAATATTTTGGTCGTCTCCCGTAGGTATATATATATATATATATATACTTTAATACGCCCATAATATTATTATAGATTAACATTATTAACCCACAAGGATGAACTCTTCCATAACACACACACGGATACGCGTTTACGCGTTCATCGTTTCGATGATATTATACACTCGACCTAATATAATATTTGAAGCATATAGATGCGTAATTATTAGTATTCGGTTAATATATATATATATATATATATATATATATATATAATTTACACTGAGAGGTTATGTAACTATCAATACGTGCAATGTTTTAATCGAAATTTTTTATTTTTTTAAATACAATTTTGAGTAGATACACTTTGTTTTGTATAGATTATATTCTATGTAAAAGCTGTTTTAACCCAATTGCAACATTATTCGAGTAGTTAATTGACCAATTAAAAAAGCATCTAATTGGAATAAAATAATACGTTAAGGAAACAGTGCAGTTATCGATTTGTTTGGACGAGATTTTCTTTCAATACCTAAAATCGACCTGACATGACATACACGAATTATTACTTTTGTTTTTATGTGGAATTGTCAAAATTGGCTTTAGAAATGACATCTTAATTGGTTTTTTTCTAAAAATAAATAAATATTACTACATTCTAATTTTGTTCTTATTTTACATTATTAAATGTAATAATATGTTATAGCATCTCAAAAATCAAACACACATATTATTATATTATTATATTTTATTTTATTTTTCACAAAAGTAAATTAATATTTTAAATAGTTATTACTCGGTTTCTTAAATTAAATCGTAAAAAATTAAATTTGATATCTGTCATAATAATGTGTATATCAATTCTTGTTATATTATTGGAATTATATATAATTAATACACAACACTTGGTTTTAAAAATCGTTAAATGATATCGTGTCGTTTTTCGAACTGCGTCAGCTGTATTTTATTTTTCTTCAAATAATCTGTAGTGTATAACAACGTCGATTTCCTATCGCGTGTATACCGTATATTATCTAAACAAGTCCTCCGTGCACAGTAGGTAAATGTAGCAAAGTTTCGAAACAAACCGTACGGCTAATTTTCGAGCACCCCGACGGATCATAAACCCGTTGAACAATCCAAATCGTGGCATGTAACAACCGCCTAATTTATAATACCGTTATGATTCGCAGGGATCGCCTCACTGCCAAGGACTGCTTGGAACACTGTTGGTTTCATAGAACACAAACGATGACGTCGACGGCGTGCACTACGCCCTCGAGAATATTCAACGGACAGGACAGCGGCGGTAGCAGCAGCAGCAACGCTTCCGATTCGTCCATCTGTGCGGTGGTGACCAACACCCTGTCGGACGTCGTGGACCGCGTCACTGCCGGAACCGCCACCCCCGTGACGACAGCTGTCAAACACCAGCAACACCAACAGAACCACCAGCAACACCAACAAAACCACCAGCAACACCAACAAATACCACACCACCTATACCAACAGCAACAGAAAAAGTTTGCCGCCCTGCAGTCGAAGAGCTGCGACAACTCGCCCGCGCCGCCGGCGATGAGCGCTTCTCGGCGCAAGTCGTTCAAGGACAACATGGAGTCGCTGGTCCGGCGGCTAGACCGCGAACTGGCCGACAGCTGCCAACGGATGGTCGGCGAACCGAGTCCGCCGCCACCGCAGGCCGCGGCCGCCCCGCCGGGCCGGACGCTGAGCCGAGCCCAGCGGCACGCCGCAGACGATGCCGTGGAGGACTGGCGCGTCCAGCAGCCGCGTGGCGGTGCCGTTCACGTTCCGCAGAACGGCGGTGGACGAACCGTCGCGCCGCCGTCGCCGTCGTCGTCGCTCCACCACCGGAATACCACCACCAAGCGCGGGCAAAATCACGTCGTCGACGCGCCAGGGCGGCCAGCAGCGCTGACACTTCGTCCGTGGGCGACTGCAGCAGCACCGACACCGTCGGCAGAGTTCTCCTTGCATCGATTCGACGGCGACCGGTTCCATCATATCGCCAGGGCTCGCTGGACCATCGCTTCGATAGATGGTCGTGTCGTCTCCTCTCTTATATATCCTCCTCCGTCGTGGTGTGGTCGACATCCGCCGACCTGTGCGGCAGACCAGGCTGGTGAAATATCCGCGTCGTGCTTTAACGTCACGGAACGCACCGGCGGCGATCGCAGAAGAGCCAGCCGAAGAGTGCAGCGGCACTTATCGCTGAGCCATGTCGCAGTTCATAACCGTTGCGACGACATCCGGCCGAAACCCCGCCGGCCTCGGGTGTTCGACGACTTCGGGCCGGCGGCGCAGCCGCTTCCGAGACAACGCAGGACCAGTGGTGCGTGGGCCTGGAACTGATGCACCCAGCGAAACGCCCAGCAACGTGGTGTGATACGCAGATCAGGCCAACGGCATGGCCACGCGCCGGTACGGTGACTCAAGTGAAAGTGGTCCGTCGCGGTCACGAAACTGCAGGTGCATGCGCCGGCCCGCCGCCGCGATCGCTGCTGGACGATCGTGTGCCGCTGTCGTGGACCTGTTCTGACGGCCCCGCCACCGCCGCCATCATCAGTCCGCAGCAACGACCTTGTTGCCGTGTGTGTGTGTGTGGCAAGCCCATCGGCGTTGTACTGCCGTGGCCCCGCAATATCATTACTGGTATTACTTTTCGCCGCCGCCACCGCCATCAACCTCTTTGCTTCGTCCCGACGGGCGGCGGCGCGAGTCCTCGTTTCGTCTCTCGTCCCCGTCGTGCTCGAAATCCGATAGTGTGTCGCGTTTCGCTGCCCGAAATTAACTATTCAGAAATACGCATGTTGCTTAAAAACGACATATTGAACGTAATACCGTTGTACTTGAGATGAAATAGTGCACTGCTATGCGATATTCGTCTGTTCCACTCCCCTCTCCCCCTATCAAGAACATTGTTCTTCCCATATTACTAGTCCTCTTCACTATCGCCGTATCTCTTTAAACCCCATATTTAGTAATAATAACAATTTTAAAGTGTATTTTTCAATTCAAATTTTGATTCATTGCATCAACATTAACCATTTTACCAATATGAACTGATTTTTGAAAACTATCTGCAAAATTCAATGTTTTCCTCAATAATTTTTCCAAATCATTAACTGCACTCTTTATAAGCAATATATATCTATACACTATAGAAATATACTATATCATTTATATATATTTAATAGTATAATAACAATAATGGTAATAGTAACCACGTATGTAATAATATTTATAAAGATCCAAATAGACAATAATGATTATTATGTGAAAATAAACAAATTATAGGCTGCATAAACCAAATTTATTATTTTAAAAATAAATAGTTTATCTTAGAACAAACATTAATTTATTATATAATTTTGTTTTGTTTATTTTATTTTTATATTTGTACATCGGATCAGCAAATTCAAGTAATTTAAATTAACATATAAACATATTATCCGTATCATTCTCATACACCAGACTTCGTTTTG